CAATCTCAATTGATTTCATCAAGGAGTTAAAAGATTAAATGCTACTATCAAGTCGGTATATGGCGTTGTTCTATACTTGACTAATAGTAAGGGTTATTAATGAACGGTCGTTGTTAATAACTATCCTCGATGAATTGGATATACTCCTCGATTGAGTATTCGAGAGGAGATAAGTTATAGATATAACAATGATCGACTAAAATATATCAACAAGTGGAAAGTAGCAATGCCAAGTCACTTTTATTTCTGAATTTAATCCCATATAACTCGTTCATCTTCGTGTTTAATTTAATTAAATCACTCAACAAACAAAACCCCCCTTTATTTACTAGTTCATAAAAAGAGAATTATTCCTTTCCCTGTGGATACGAACTCTACTTCACCTATACTACGTATAAGTGTTAGTATTGAAAATTTATTTTGAGTGCACTCACGACAAAGTGCACGTCAAAACTCATTAATGACAGAACAAAAACAGAACTTCCTGAACAAAAACAGAGTTAATCATCCAAACTCTCTGTGGGATCGACCTGAACTTTCACTATCTACGTGTTAGTTTAGTTTTTATTTGGTGTTAATCATCAAATACATGTTACTATATTTTTTTTCATACTAATTAAATAGAGACATTTATTTAGCTACTACATAGATCTACTGATAGGCACTAGTTGTTAGTGCCTAAAGTGTACATTTTTATTATCGTTTGTAATATTTATTTACTAGTATTATGCAAGTTTGTAGTCGTTAGTTTGCATTTGATTGTAATCGTATTTTTAGCATTTTATTGTTTGTTGTAAGTTATAGTTAGTTGAGCTATAAGTTTAGGATAGGTTTGGAAGCAAGCAGGATGGAAAAACCTGAGTTTTATGTAAAACCCGGTCGGGTATGGACTTTACCCGGCCGGGTATGAAGTGACAAAGGAAACTGCTGCATAACTAGCAAATACCCGGTCGGGTATTCCATATACCCGGTCGGGTATGAAGTGATTTCGGACCAAAGAACGTGCAGAAGACACAAAAACATGGGAAAATATTTGATTTGGTAAATACCCGGTCGGGTATGTCAAAATACCCGTCCGGGTATCCGGCATTAGGTGTTGAAAACACCTATAAATAACCCCATTTTCCTTCACTTTTAATCATCCCTTCTTCCATACTCTTAAGCTTAGTTTAGAATAGTATTTCTTTTATATTTTTATAGCATGTTTAGTCTCCAAATGAGGAGCTAAACTCTTCCATCTTGGTTTTGCTACTTTGAAGCTTAATGAATTTGTAAGTTGTGAGTTATTCTCTTTAATCTTCTTCCTTGAATATTAATTCTTCTTTTAAATACTATTTCTATATCAATGTTGGGAGTGTTACTAGGATGACAATTAGTTAACATCTTGACATTAGTTATAGTAATAGTTATTTCTTCCTCTACGTTAATATTGGGGAGTGTTACTAAGATGACAATTAGTTAACATCTTGATATTAACTATAGTAGGATTCATCTTCTTTAATATTCTTTCTTGAGTATTAATTAATTCCTATTCATATTTCATATTAATATTTTGAACATTACTTAAAGGATCAACTAGTTTTGTTTCATATATTAATTAATACTAGAATCGGTCAATTAATACGCTTGTTATTAATTCGGTCCTTTCACGGTAGTAAACTTGGATTATTAATGCATGCATCTCATGGTCAATAATCTAAGGGGAACTAATTACATTGATTAACCAACAAACCGCTTGTGTTGAGGTTATCAATCTCAATCGTTTTCATCTTAAGTTTATTGCTACTATCAAGTTAATATACGGCGCTTGTTCTATATTGACTCGATAGTAAGTTTTATTAAAGAACGCATCTCGTTATTAATAACTACCCTCGATGAACTGGATATACTCCTCGATTGAGTATTCGAGAGGAAGATAGTTAAAGATATAACCGGGATCGACGAACATTTCATTAAGTGGATAAAAGCAAAGCCAAGTCTTCTTCTCATTAATTAAACCACATAACTCGTTCATCTTCATGTTTAATTTATTAAACCAAATCAAACTAAAACCCCCCCATTTTGTTACTAGTTCTATAAAAAGAAAAGTATTCATTTCCCTGTGGATACGAACCTTACTACACTATACTACGTATTAGTGTCGTATTGATATTTATTTTGAGTGCACACCACGACAAAGTGCACGTCAAATTTGGCGCCGTTGCCGGGGAAAGGCAATTATTTTTCTTTTTATTTCATTTCAAGAAAAAAAAAATATATAATTAAATAAAAATATAAAGAGTTCTTATTTTCTATTTCTGAGCTTTGTTTGAGTATATGGTTAAACACCGATCTATAAATCAAATCACCTACCAAACAAATCCCGAAACGGAAGAAGCCTTCGAGAGGTTTAGGAATTTATTTCCGAATACTTCTTCGGAGGAATCATCAAGCGCTAGTTCTTATTCTAGCGAGAACGAAGAGCCAATCACTATGGATCAAGAGACGAGAACATTGAGGGAGCTCACCGCTCCAAATCTCAACCAACAACCATTGTGTATTACCTTCCCTACACTCAATGAAGGTAATACTTTTGAGCTCAAATCGGGGCTTATCCATCTACTTCCTTCCTTCCACGGGCTAAGAGGAGAGGACCCGAACAAACATCTCTCGGAATTCCATATTGTTTGCACGAGCATGTGCCCAAATGGAGTCACCGAGGAGCAAATCAAATTAAGGGCTTTTCCATTCTCCCTTAAAGACACCGCAAAGGATTGACTATTCTATCTCCCTTCGGGGAGTATAGATACATGGGCAGCAATGAAGAAATGCTTCCTAGAAAGGTATTATCCCGCTTCTGTCTCATCATCTTTGAAAAAACAAATAAGCAACATTGATCAAAAAGATGATGAGTCCTTATATGAATATTGGGAGCGGTTCAAAAAGTTGTGTGCTAGTTGCCCATATCATGGGTACACTGAGCAAAACCTCATCCTTTACTTTTATGATGGTCTTGCGGATCAAGATAGGCACATGGTTAATGCGGCGAGTGGAGGGGGGATTGTTAACAAAACCCCTTCGCAAGCAAGAAATCTCATCTCGGAGTTGGCCGAGAATTCTAGATACTACAATGGGCGATCCTCAACCCGAAGGGTTGCCGTGGCGGAATCCACACCTCGTTGGAAAGTCAAGTGGCCGGCTTGACTTCTTTGGTTAAAGATTTTCTCTTAAAACCCAAAACCCAAGAAGTCAAGGTTTGCGGCATATGTTCAACACAAGGGCATCCGACCGATTCATGTCCATCAATACAAGAGGAGAATTTTGAGCAAGTCAACGCCTTGGGTTTCCAAGGACATCAACAAAGAAGGTACGGCCCATTCTCAAACTCTTACAACCACGGATTGAGGGATCATCCAAACTTGAGGTATGGAAACCCCCAACAATCCAACCCATCTTCTCAACCACCTTTCAACAATCAAGGCTCAAATTCTCAAACTAATATGTCAACTGATGACATGATAAGAGCTTTGACTTCAAACATGGTTACCATGCAAAAAAGCATGGGACAATTTCAACAAACCATGATACAATTCCAACATGAAACAAAGTCAAGCATTAAAAATTTGGAAACTCAAGTTAGCCAAATTTCAAATGCCGTAAACCGATTGGAAGCAAAGGACTCGGGTAAACTCCCATCTCAAACGGAGCAAAACCCGAGACAACATGTGAATGCAATCATGTTGAAGGAGGTAGAAAAGAATGACCAAGAGATCGAGGAGGTTGATCATGAAGAAGAAGCTAAATCTGAGGAGAGAACCACAAAGGCGAAACTCCCTCCATTTTCATCGTATGAACTAGTAGCCCCATTCCCCGAGGCATTGATGGAGACAAGGAAGCTGGAGAAAGATACTGACATCTATAAAACTTTCGCCAAGTGTGAGGTAAACATTCCGCTCCTTAACTCAATTAAAAATATTCCCCGTTTTGCTAAATTTTTAAAAGAATTATGCAAAACAAAACGAAAGGATAAGTCGAAAGAAAAGCAAGAGGTCAAGGTTAGTGAACATGTATCGGCTCTATTTCAAAAGAAACTTCCCGAAAAATGTAGCGACCCGGGCATGTTCACCATACCTTGCAAGATAGGGAACACCACATTTTCTAAGGCCTTGTTGGATTTAGGGGCATCCATAAATGTCATTCCTTACTCTCTGTATAAATCCCTACAACTCGGCCCACTACATCAAACTGCTGTAGTGATTCAACTAGCAGATCGATCTAATACTTACCCAAAAGGTGTATTAGAAGATGTGCTAGTAGAAGTAGAAAATTTAGTTTTCCCTGTTGACTTCTATGTCCTTGAAATGGGAAATGATGATCAAACGACGCCCATCCTGTTGGGTAGACCTTTCTTAAAAACCGCAAAAACAAAAATTGACGTGTCTAGTGGTTCATTAACTTTAGAGTTTGATGACCAAAAAGTAGAATTCAATATCTTTGACTCTACGAAAAAACAAATTAAAAATCAATCCCTTTGTTCTTTAAATATTTTTGAACCACCAACACTGAATATTTTTGTTGAAGAGGAACCAAAAAAATCTATTTTGAAAGGAAAATCACCTACTATTGAGGTGGTAACAAGGAAGAAAATTCGACCTTACTGGAAAAGCCCGAAGAAGAAAGCTGAAACGTGTCCCAACATGGCTTTTGAAAATAAAACAAGGGATGCTCACGATCCCACTTAAAAAACAGAAAATAAAATAAAAATAACGTCGTGCCGCGACATTAAATCAAGCGCTTCTTGGGAGGCAACCCAAGTTTGTATTTTGATCATTTTCATTTTTGTGTGTGTGAGAGAGAGAAAAAAAAGCTGGAAAATTGAAAAAAATCATAAAACCCGACCGGGTACTCCTAAAACCCGACGGGGTTTTCGGCTAAAAAGCCCCTGCTACCGTCTGCTTTGAAAACCCACTCGCGTATAAACAATACCCGGCCGGGTTTACGGGATTTCCCCAAAAACAAAAGCCCGATCAACCAAAAATTCAACCTATCTTCCTCATTGAGCTCGAGCTTCCCACCCCAAACCTCCATAGCCACACTCCAAAAGCTTCAATACACCTTCCATACTCTACCAAAAACCTAAATAAACACCATATTCTTCCTCCCCACATCATCCCCTCCATTTCTACACCCACCATATCACCCAAACCCCCAAAATCCCCAAATCCGAAAAACCCTACCCAAATCCCATAAGGTGCAATTTTGCTCGAAATATCCCAATCTAAACCCAATTTCTTGTTCTCTCCATCATCCTCTACACCTCCACACCCTCAAAAACACCAAAAACCAAAAAGTCCGAATTTTTTTAACCCCTCCAAGACAAGTCCGAAATTTCTTCACTAGGGTGGGTTAGGAGTTGAGAGCTGATTCTCTCCCTCTCTCGAGGCTCTTCTACGTACATTCCCAAACACCAATCGATCTTCCATTGATTCTCTTTGCTAAGCTTGGATATTGGCTGGATTTAATTTGTGGTGTAACTCCTCAAATTTTCGAGCTCTGCTTTGGGGATTTTCGGACTGTTTCAGCTAAAAACAGTCTCGCGAGTACTGTTCCACGACGGCAGGTCAACGGCCATCTGCCGCGCCTGTCCTCACCGTTTTTATTTTGGAAGGTCATCTTGGACTCCCCTAGGTGCGTATAACAACACTCTTTTCATCCATCAAAGGAGGTCGGATTTGGGTCAAACTCTCCAACGGATATATGTATTTCTGGAAATCGCTGAAACCAGAAATCAAGAAGATGGTCACCTAGAAGGGGTCTGCTACTCCATAGCTCCCTCGTTCCCTGCAAATTCGGACACTGTTCATCTACCTCAGTATACCGCGACTGCTGAAGGGTGAGAGTTGCAGACCTGCTACTGCTGTCTGCGTTTGCTATTGTACTGAGGTCCGGTCTTCTTTACTGACCTGGGGGGTTGAGACGAGTGCAAGGCAGTGAAGTGATTACTGCTATGGGGAAGAAGAAAAATACGCTACTGATTGGTGAATCTTCTTCCAGAATTACAAGGTCAAAGACTGGAAACTTTGACATTCTGGCAGATTGTGATGATGAATTTCCTGCTTTGGGGAGTATCACGCCAGTAGCTCCTGATGCTGGAGCCAAGACAGGGGATGCTGCTAAACCTGGGCAGATTGTTGCTAAGCTATCGGGGCAGTCAGTCCCTAAGTTAGGAGCAAACAAGACAGCCACTAGTCCAAACAAAATGAGTGAGCCAGTACTGATCAAACAGGCCCAAGAAAACGCAAGTGCTAAGTTGGCACAGAATGTTACTGCCAGTTTATTGGAAAAGGAACAAAACAAAAATGGGGATGCAGGGGTTGTTAAACCTTGGTCTTCATTGTTCAAAGACAATCGTGACCCTTCAAATGGTTTGAAATTGAGGTATATCCAGCCCAAAGGCACATCTCTAGATTTTACGGATAGAGATTTGCCTTCTATGGTTGACATGTGGGGATTTTGTCTTGTGGGTTTCTTTTCTGGGAAATTCCCAGGCCTTAAAGTGATCTATGACTTGAAAAACACTTGGGGAGTTAGTTGCATTGTTAACACACATAGCAAGGGATGGATTATTTTCAAATTTCAAAATGATGAAGATAGATCAAAAGTGTTGAATGGAGGTCCTTACACCATCTTTGGTATACAACTCATGTTAAAAGCACTATCGGAAGATTTTTCCTTTGATGATGAAGAATTTCTCAAAGTCCCCATTTGGGTAAAATTTCCTAATCTACATATGAAACTTTGGAATGAGGAGGCTATGAGTGAAGTTGCATCTATGGTAGGTGTCCCGCTTTCTACGGACAAAATCACTCAAAATAGGAGCAATCACCACTTTGCTAGAGTTCTAATTGAAGTTGATGTTTCTAAACCACCTCCGTTATCATTTCCTATACGATTACCTTCCTGTAAAGTAGTCAAACAAATGGTGGTTTATGAAACTTTCCCCAACTTTTGTTTCCATTGTAAAATATATGGGCACCACCCATTTATTTGCAAGAAATTGGTAGCAAAAGAACAGGATGAGTCTATTGTTGAAAAGGAAAAGGAATCTGAGGAGATTGTTGTTGCTAAAACTGCCCAACACGTAGAGTTAAGAGCCGAGATGAATGGAGAAACCGGGGTTATGCCCATTGTACCAGCTGCCACTGTTGAGGATACCAAGGAGGCAACAACTCATGACCAGACTGTTGCCCAGGGGGCTGTTTTAGGTGTGCAACCTGCTGCCACCATTCTGCACTCTGCGCCAACTGCCCAGGGGGCTGGTTTAGGTGTGCAATCTGATGCTACCGTTTTGCATTCTGCGCCAACTGCCCAGGGGCATTCCAAACTTGCCAAGGGATGTTCCAAAGCTGATGAAAATGACTCCGAGGTCGTTTTGGAAGATATTGAAAGGATTGTGATGGATGAAAGAAATCTGAAGTTAAATGATGTTGTCATCAAATTTGCGGTCATCAACGGTAAGACACTCAAGTTGGCTGTCAAACCTTTTAAGTTCGTGTGCGCGAGTGTGATTAGAGTGGATACTTCGCTTCGACTTACAGATGATTTGGATAGGAAAGGCATTACTTTCACGGCCAAATGTCTCGAGGCGATGCCGGGAGTTACTAAGAAAAATGGGGAGATTTGTTTTGACTCAAAGTTCACCACTCCTTTCCGAGCTTTCTTTGGAGTTTAAATTAGGGATACCTATTTTTGTTTTTGCGGTCAAATTGTTGACTTGGGAGGATGGAAAGCTTGATGTTGTGGTATCCATTGTTCTGGGATATGCACTTTTTCTTTATTTTGAAATAGTTTGACAGGGGAATGTCCCATTGTTCTTGTGATGCAATTATTTAAGTTAGAAATTCTAGCTTAGGTAGCATTTTGATCTAGAATTGATACATTGTAAAATGTTATCTTTTGACGGTTTCTAATATACTTACATATTATCGTCGAAATTTCTTCACTAATTTCAAGCAAAGGGAAAACCATGGCACCGAAAAGGGCTAGAGCATCTTCCTCCAACTCAAATGCTCCAATTCCACAAGTTCCGGGGTATGAGAGCGTCGAATTCACTTCTAGGGCTCATCACAAGAAATTCCTCAACCAACTCAACCGAGAGGTATATCCCACCCGATTGCTTTGTCATGAGGCATTGAGAGCTTTGATGTTGTATGATATGATGCTAGAATTGTGCAACAACATAGGACTTACTACACTGTTCAATATGTCCTATAATATCTACAAAAGAATTGTATATGAGTTCCTAGCCTCTGTTGAATTTACTGATAATGATGAGGACACCTATGAGAGCAAACTCACGTTTCGGTATAACAACATACGAAGAACTTTAACAAAACGTGAGTTTGCCGAGCTATTTGGTTTACCAGTTTTAGGTGTGGAGGAAAGAAAGGCAAGAAGTGATAAAACAATTGTGCATGATTTTTGGCGAAGAATGACAGGGGTTAGGGTCTTTAAATCCTCACATATGCATGTTACACATGTTCAACACCCTGCCCTTCGAATTGCACTAAAATGGTTTGGGTATAATATCTTTGGGAAGCCAAATAATCATCAAACAAGGATTAGTGAATTGGCCATTCTTGCTATGAGTATCTTTCCAGAAGCCCCTAGATTAGATGTTGCTTCATGTTTATGGGAACATCTAAAAACACAATGTGAAGCTATGGGTGAAATTTTCATAGGAGGGTACATACACCATATTTGTACTAAATTTGGCTATCATGCGAATAGAGAAGTAGAAGCATGGCATTTCCTTAATCTTGACTTTCTACTCACTGCCCATGATTTGAGTCACTCCCACACTATTGGGACCACGACATTTTACCATTGGACCATACACCCCTCACCCACACAAGTTTTTACAATCCCCTCCGACGAACTCCCCAACATTTTTAACCATCAACTCGGGGATAGGAGACACCTTTGCTTACCCGGAACCACCCCTGACCACTATCTTAATGAAATCCCTCAACTTGATCCCCCACCCATCCCCAGCCCACCACAAGACCAACCACAAGCCGACCCCCAACACCCTCAATATAGTCCATTTGAGCAACAGATGCTCCACAGCATGAGTGCCCTAAACCTCAACTACACCCAATTTCGGGAGGAATTTGGACTGTTTCGCACTGAGCACAGGCAGAGTATAGAGCGATTGGAGGAGCAAATACAAGACCAGCGGCAGCAATACGACGACGACCGCCGGAGATATGAAGAGGATCAAAGGAGGACCTACGGCCCTATATACTCCTACATTGCACATCAAGGGTCCTTTTCTTCTATGGTCACTCCCCCACCACTACCCTCTTGGTATGACCCCACAGCATGGGGTACTTTTGGTGGATCGACCTCAGGTGGGGGAGGCGGTGATGGCGGATACGGCGGCGGCTCAGACACAAACGACGATGAGTATCCATATGCGGGTGGTTTACATGACAGCTACTATGGCCAGGGTGGATTCTTTGATGGAGGAGATGCTGGCGGGCACTAGGGACAGTGCCATGAACTAGCTGGGGGGGAGAACTATTCTGGTACACTCCCATTTCATACTCTTTATTCTTGCTTTACAAAAAAAACAAAAAAAAAAAAAAACCAAAACAAAGCTTGTTAGGTTGAAAACCCAAAAGGGCAACTTAAGCAAAACAAAAGCAAAAAGAGTGAGTTGGTGAGAATAAAAAAGGAAATGTGGGAAGCTGGGATGAAAACCCGAAAGGGCACCTAGGCAAAATGAGAGAATGAGAGAAAGTATTTTCTTTTATCTTTGTAGGATCCTAAGGGCATATACATGAGGAAGCAAAAGAAGAGAAATCTAATGGTGTTGAAGACCTTTTTATGTGTTTTTGATCATTGAAACATTTTTATGTTGATTTTCAAAAAACACTTGTGAATGGTTGTGATTGCTACTATTGTTGGTTCGGAAACTTCATGGACAGGATTTGTTTTACTCGAGACGAGTAAAAGTTCAAGTGTGGGGGTGTTTGATAGGCACTAGTTGTTAGTGCCTAAAGTGTACATTTTTATTATCGTTTGTAATATTTATTTACTAGTATTATGCAAGTTTGTAGTCGTTAGTTTGCATTTGATTGTAATCGTATTTTTAGCATTTTATTGTTTCTTGTAAGTTATAGTTAGTTGAGCTATAAGTTTAGGATAGGTTTGGAAGCAAGCAGGATGGAAAAACCTGAGTTTTATGTAAAACCCGGTCGGGTATGGACTTTACCCGGCCGGGTATGAAGTGACAAAGGAAACTGCTGCATAACTAGCAAATACCCGGTCGGGTATGAAGTGATTTCGGACCAAAGAACGTGCAGAAGACACAAAAACATGAGAAAATATTTGATTTGGTAAATACCCGGTCGGGTATGTCAAAATACCCGGCCGGGTATCCGGCATTAGGTGTTGAAAACACCTATAAATAACCTCATTTTCCTTCACTTTTAATCATCCCTTCTTCCATACTCTTAAGCTCAGTTTAGAATAGTATTTCTTTTATATTTTTATAGCATGTTTAGTCTCCAAATGAGGAGCTAAACTCTTCCATCTTGGTTTTGCTACTTTGAAGCTTAATGAATTTGTAAGTTGTGAGTTATTCTCTTTAATCTTCTTCCTTGAATATTAATTCTTCCTTTAAATACTATTTCTATATCAATGTTGGGGAGTGTTACTAAGAAGACAATTAGTTAACATCTTGATATTAACTATAGTAGGATTCATCTTCTTTAATATTCTTTCTTGAGTATTAATTAATTCCTATTCATATTTCATATTAATATTTTGAACATTACTTAAAGGATCAACTAGTTTTGTTTCATATATTAATTAATACTAGAATCGGTCAATTAATACGCTTGTTATTAATTCGGTCCTTTCACGGTAGTAAACTTGGATTATTAATGCATGCATCTCATGGTCAATAATCTAAGGGGAACTAATTACATTGATTAACCAACAAACCGCTTGTGTTGAGGTTATCAATCTCAATCGTTTTCATCTTAAGTTTATTGCTACTATCAAGTTAATATACGGCGCTTGTTCTATATTGACTCGATAGTAAGTTTTATTAAAGAACGCATCTCGTTATTAATAACTACCCTCGATGAACTGGATATACTCCTCGATTGAGTATTCGAGAGGAAGATAGTTAAAGATATAACCGGGATCGACGAACATTTCATTAAGTGGATAAAAGCAAAGCCAAGTCTTCTTCTCATTAATTAAACCACATAACTCGTTCATCTTCATGTTTAATTTATTAAACCAAATCAAACTAAAACCCCCCCATTTTGTTACTAGTTCTATAAAAAGAAAAGTATTCCTTTCCCTGTGGATACGAACCTTACTACACTATACTACGTATTAGTGTCGATATTTATTTTGAGTGCACACCACGACAAAGTGCACGTCATCTACTGTCAATAATTGACAAGTTCTTCTGGTAACTTCTCAAAGTAATGTCATTAAGTGTAAACATTATTTGAACTTATTAAAAAAAACGTAGTTTACATCATTATAAAATTCATAATTTTGTTTTCCAGGCAAACATACAGATTTCAATAATTAATGTACTTACTCGTTTTTATTTATTAGCTTTTTATGGCATTTTAGTTTTAAAGTCATTTAAATAAAGCATTTTAGTACATTACAAAATCCAATTACCTATTAATTAAGCCTATTTATTCCACAAACAAAAAAAACCAATCACCGATTAACTTCTATTTAATTTATTTGTCCAAAAAAAAAAAAACTATTATGTGCCTGTTTTTCTTCTGCCAAACATGTACTTTTTATTTAAAGACCAAATATAATGACAATAATTTCCAAGTAATGGTTGTAGTTGTTATATCACAAGGTAAAGCAAATGTCACTAAATGCCAACGTTTCTACAATTCCAATCAACATGTCTTATGTCTTACACAGGTAGCTTTGCAAAACAAGGCAAATAAACGTAAAAACAAGTACAAGAATGAAACGTACACATTCAAACCCAACTACATGTCTATTTAATCTCATTCACTCAACACATATATCATTACAAACATCCTTGGCATATGTTTTCTATTTCCCTTTGACTTGTTTGAAAACATAATACATGTATTATAAGTCCATTTCATTACCGACATCCTTGGCATATGTTTTCTATTTCCCTTTGACATATGCTTTCTATTTCCCTTTGACTTGTTTTAAAACCATGTATTTACACATTGTTTTAATACAAATCGGTGAATTTAACATGAAAAATACATAATTAACATCAAAACAAATGGTTTTAGTTTGGTACAAATTCTCTCAATGAACCTGAATAAACCGAAACCGAACCGAAAATGAAGAAAAGCGAACCGTAAACCGATTTGCCCACCCCTAATACTATGGGTGCTATTCCAAATCAAAATGTAATACCACCATCATAATGTTCCTTACTATGATGCCTAGCTAAACTTAAACAAACAACAAGTTTATATAGGAAAGTGTTCAGATTACATAGTAGTCAGCATTAACACACACATACAATGCGTGTGGAAAAACTAGTACTTAGATTATAAGTATAATACTTCTTTTAGGGGAAACAATAGTTATAATAATTGCCACCCAGATTGTTACATTTATAAGGTATATATATAAGATACGATACTAGCAATATTACATAATTTTACTCATACTTCAGGACTCGTACCAAAAAACTGGGTTCAGTCGGTCCGCGTGCCACCGAGCTAAGCTTGTACGACAGAATTGTAGTTAAGTATAGAACTCAAACGAGCAACATCTCGATAAATTTCAAACATGTAGCCTTCTTGTTGGGAGTGTATGCCATCAAACCCCCTTGATACATACGTAGGGCTTAGTAGTATAATATAATAATATAATAAAATATAAGGAGATTATCTTAAATAGGAGTAAAAAGGAATTCCAAAACAGGACTGTTACATTTTTATTCCTT